TTTACTCCCAGTCGATGCTCTATTTATTTCTTGTTTTTGCTCTATTTACTTTCCGTTTTCCTCTTCTGACCGTGAGACTTCTTCTTTCACGTCCCTTCTTATACTACTTATATCGTTCGTATAAGTAGCACACACCACAAGGATAGCTAACCATTTGATGAAATAGTGAATCCTGATCAGCTAAATTGGTTGACACATGTGTTATGTATGCCAAACCATCGATTACCTCGACAAGTGATTTTGTCTGATGTAGAGGAGGTACGCTGGAAGTAAACTAAAACATGTCACGAATCGATGAGTTGACTGAAAACTGGATTGATTTATGTGAGTAGATGTGAACTATATGATTGAGGTCCGCAAAAATAAAATCGTAACCGGTGTTTAGAGACTTTGAGTGATATGGCTTAAAATCGTTTGCAATAGCGCAGGTGTTGCATCCATTCTTTGTGTTCTTTCAAATTCTAATCTTCTGAAATCTCCATGACCGGTTTTTTCGTCAATTCATTTCACTGGATTATACTTCTTGAATAACATCATCTGACTGTGATCTTTCTGATTATTGCTCATACTTCAACTACTTACTTACGCCTGTTACCCACAATGGAGCGTTGACCGCCCAACCAGTTTTCTCCAACCAACCCTGTCCTGGGCTTCCCTTTCTAGTTCTGTCCAATGTTTGTTCATTCTTCTCATATCTTTCTCTATTTCTCGGTGTAATGTGTTCCTTGGCCTTCCTCTTTTCCTTTTGCCTTGAAAGTTCCATGTGAGGGCTTGTCTCGTGACGCAGTTGGGCGCTTTACGCAGTGTGCGTCCTATCCACTTCCAGTGCTTCTTCCTGATTTCCTCCTACATTGGAAACTGGTTTTTTCTCTCCCACAGTACGTCGTTGCTGATGGCGTCTGGAAAACGAATCCGAAGTATTTTGCTTAGACAACTGTTAATAAATACTTGTATCTTTTGGATGATGCCTTTCATAGTTCTCTAAGTTTCCACTGCATACAGTAGAACTGTGTTGACATTTGCATTGAAAATCCTGATTTTGGTTAAAAGTTGTTTGGAGTCTCAGATTCATACTGCAACTACCTTTACCACTAAGGGATTCGAGTAGACAATTGTATTTCTGTACTACCATGGTATGGAATTCCTTATCAACCATTTTACTTTTTTTTCAAACTTATCTCACTAGGATATACTTTTCGAACCATATCTTCGATTCTTAACCTTTCCGCTTGCCGATAATATATGTATACGATTCGAATTGACAATCTCATCTGTCTGTGCTAATGCGATATGACAACTTAAACTGGATACCTACGTGTCAAGTTCCACGTTACAGCTGACTGACTGAACAATTTTCTCATTTCTACTTCAAAACTTTTCAACCAACTCATATTGAAAAGTGAGATTTTGAATAACGAATCATTGATTTTGCAATAATATCCTAATTTTTGTAGGAAAAAAATAAACTTATCCATTGAACCAATCAATAATTATTTCGCTTTTTCCAATTATATGACTAATCGTTTCACATTTATTTTATTTATTAAATTTACTAACCGTAATTGACCTGAAATATCGTCGTTATTCCTATCAGTTTATTTAAATCTGAAATCAAACTTTATATGATACCTCAAATATTAGTGATGAGACTACAACTCGCAATCAATCAAAATGGACTCCATGTTTGTACAGTAAATATCATCTTACATGGAACAAAAAAAGTGAGAAACAAGTAAACGAATGCACAATGATCCAATCAGAAGTGTCCTAGTGAGAAGGTAATTTGTTGACCAATTAGAAAATGTCCTGAAGGACGAATACAGTTGATTGGTCAATAAACAGTTGCCCTTTTTTAAAGAGATGTAAAATATGTATGATGTGTATGTGTATATGTGTAGACGAGTATTTTTTACATATAATTAGATAGCCGAACAAACTTTCTTCTCGAGTCTTATTTTCCCGTTGAAGTAAGCCAATTTGAGAGACACCGCACATTATAACACAAACTATTAATGGGCTATAATTGATGTGCAGCACGGGTTTAATCAACAGTTATTGTGATTTGAATAAATGCTTACTCTTAGAGAGGAAATTAAAAGAACTATGAGCTAAATTGTGAATACTGTCCTAATGAAAATAATAATCAACTGTATGAAAATGCTCGAAATTCTGACGCTCTCCTAGATTGGATCCCAGTAGATAGTCGCTTGTACGCTGTCCGACTAAACCGGACAGTAATGACTCGGAAAGTTAGGGACACTCGCTGTCACCTCTTCATCATATCTGCCTACGAGGTGAAAGATGAGTTTTACAGAAAGCTTTCGGACCTCCGCCAAGAAGTTAGGTGCTCTGATATAGTAATAATGGCTGGTGACTCCAATGCTCAAGTAGGTAGACTAAGTCAAAAGGAAAGACACCAGGGATCTTATGGTATCGCGGCACTATTAAAAACCTGGAAGCACTGGAACGCCGTTTCGTCCTAGTATGGGACTCATCAGCAGTGCGCATCCACGTCTAAAAACAATATCCATAACTCTAATTGAAAGTATCATAACAGTGCTCACTAGTGACTAGCTTCATGAGGAAATTCTCATAGTTCTAGTGAGAAGACGTGACCAATGGAGTTCAACCTTGCCGGGTGTAGGCAGTAACTACCAAAGACTAATGGGTGAGGTCGCGCAAAATCCCTAGATCAATCAGAGTTATACATTAACACCGTTGGATGCCGGCCCAGTGGTCCGATGGTAAGGCGTTCGCTTACATTGCCAAAGGTCCCGGGTTCGAATCCTGCAAGGAGCAGGAGTCGTGGATGCGCACTGCCACTGACGAGTCCCATACTAGGACGAAACGGCCGACCAGTGCTTCCAGGTTTCTAATGGTGGTCTAACAATGATTGATTGATGATTTCAAATGTGTAGGAACGCAAACCTCAAAAACTGTACCCCAAAATAAATAGATTTATTTATATTTATATAAATGTATGTATATGTACACATACACAAACACATACACCGAACTGTTTCATTCTATCACTTTGATCATGATCAATCAATCAATAAGATAAGGAGAATGGATGTGAACAATGAATGATGTGTATACAATGATTGATAGATAGATAGATAAAATAAATAAACAACTAAATATACTACTAATAAATAAATAAGTAAAACAATTCAGTAGACAATTCATTTTTGAGGAAGAAAAATGAAAAAAAAATGAAAAATAATCAAAAACCCACCCTGGGCATAGGACACATTATGTCATACATGATAATAAAGTTAGAGACACATTGAAATTGAATTTTTTTTCATCATACATAATATCAATCACAGAGGTTGATAGATAAAATAAAAATCCGAAGAAATCAATAATAATAAAATAATAATAAAAGAAGGTTGAAAATTTACAACTTTTTTGTTTTTCATTTCATTTCAAATAATGCCTATTTATAAATATAAATAAATATATGTATGTATAAATAAATATTTCAAAAATCATCTAGACTGTTTTCACGACTGAGAGAGAGAGAGAGAGAAACAAATCATCCAAAATGATGACGATGATGATTTTTAGTATTACTACTAATACTACTATTATTATTCGTATTAGTAGTATAAACATAACTAATAAATAAGAAAAAGACTATTTGGTCAAACAGTAGTAGTAGTAGCAGTGGTGTGGTGTGTGCTACTTATACGTACGATATAAGTAGTAGTATAAGAAGGGACGTGAAAGAAGAATAACTCTCACGGTCAGAAGAGGAAAACGGAAAGCAAATGGAGCAAAAGCAAGAATTAAATAGAGTACCACCAACAGAGGAAGGAAAGGAGGCAACAACAGGAATCGAAGAAGAAGGCTGGAGCGTTGGAAATCAGGACTCAAAGATGGTGGTGTGCAAATAGAGTGAGTGTTCAATGTAATGTTTTCGTTTTTAATTGACTAAGAGTGTACATTAGCACAATACAATCTATCACGCCTGCGTCAGTCTTCTCAGTAGTAGTAACAGTACTACTACTACTAATAGTAGTAAAGACTGTGAACTAATTAAAGGGGAAAGAAACAGAGCATCAATGAACGGATTGGCTGGCAGGCAATGAAATGCATTTTTCCACATGAAGACAATATAGAGGACAAGAAAAGAAAAAAAGGAAAAGAATGGCGGGGTCGTGGGGGGAGGGAGACATGTTCACCTTTGTGATATTTAGACACGTGCCTACATGACCTACACATCAACACACACATATTACACCATCCACTAAAATATATATAGTAGATATATATACACCCAGATAATAATAATAAATGATACATTGAGACAGAGACAAAGAGAAGAGGAAGGAAATGACTACATCATGTGAAGACAATGTGGAACAGGAGGGCAAAGTAAATAAATAAGATAAACCGCATGAGTATGATGTTGGTAGAGGAGTTACATATATATATATATATGTGTAAAAAGATCTGTTTGATTGAGAACACTATACAATAATAATAATAATAGAAATACAAGAGAATGTATTTGTTAGTAATGATTGTTCTATGCAAAACATAACAAGAAAGCAAAATAATAACATTCTTAATAATAATAATAGATTACTCATTAGTATTATGCATTGTAAGTTGTTGAGTATTATTTTTTTAATTGATGTAGAAATCAATGAGTGCATTTGTATTTATGTGTGTGTGTGCGTGTGTGTGGACGTACGTACTAACTACTACAACATGTGGGTAGTAGTAGTAGGTAGTAAGTAGTAGAGAGTAACGCTCATTGTCGTGTACTTTCTCATGTGTTCTCTCTCTCTCTCCAAACTGATCTGATATTTTTTGCTTTAAACTACAAAACAATGATGATGACCATCATCATCTTCATCATCATTGTCACTGGTTTAAGGAGAGAGAAAAAGTGAAAAGCAGAAAAATTAAGAAATGGTACTGTGTAATTTACATAAAATTACAGTTCTTAGGAAATAAAATAATTCCCCAGTCGTGTTGTTTTTGTGTGTGTGTGTGTGTGTGTGTGGAGGAAAGAGAAAGTTGGAGAAAACCAGAGAGCGAAACGCACAACAGTAGACAAACAGTACACACATACACACCTACTTAGTAGCATAATGATAAGATGGATGCTAAACTAGTACAATATGTCCATAAATGAAAAGATGAAGTCTCCGTTTGGATAAACCATCGAATGACCATGTGTCTGTGTGCATGTATATGCGCATGTATACAAGATGTATCCCACCTGATGACAAGATTTCAATAAGATTGATTCAGTACAATTAAAATTAAATATGTTGTACAGATGCTTTGTTTGTTTTAAAAATTACAATCTCTCTCTGTAGAACGGTACAGTAGAGTGGAGTGAAGTAGAGTAGAGTACAGTACAGTAGAGTAGAGTAGAGTAAAGAGAAAGACAGGAAGTGGATAAAAGCGCACATTTAAAAAAAATCATCATAATAAAACCACAACAACAACAACAACTACAGAGATATTTGGATTTGTTGTTTTGTAAGCTGCTGTGTCTCTCTCTCTCTCACTCTGTGTGTGTCTATCTGTCTGTCTATCTGCTATGTGTTTGTCTATCTTCCCACTTTGTGCTTCCTGGTTATTCGAATACTTCAAACATTCATTTGTACTTCAGTATACTGGACTGCTGCAACATGATTAGTACGTTGTTGTTGTACGGAACAACATAAAAGTACGGCAAATAATAATGCGAATAGCTAGTTATATATTTTTTTTCAAAAATAAAAAAAAAATCAGAAAATAACATGTGAAATTTTTAATGAATGGAAAAATTAAAATCAATAATGATTATCATACAATGTATTCAACACATTCATTCATCTCATGACGTGATTCTTGCAGTTCTAGTAAGAAGAAGCTGTGACTAGTGGAGGTCAATTCTGGTCAGATATAGACAGTAACTACTAAACACCGCGGGGGTGAGGTTGCCGGCACGGCGGTTTGAAGGTTAAGCGTTTGCGCATGAGATTGATTTCTGCGAAGAGGGAGTCGTAAGTGTGCACTGCTGATGAGTCCCATACTAGGAAGGAACAGGAGCCTAGTGCTTCCAGGTTCCTCCTAATGGTAGTGTGGTCTAACAATGGTCGATTCATCCTGGCAATCAATAATAAGACGCGTAATCTCAATAGTTGTTCACCGATAATAATGTCCAGTCAAAAGGTTAAGATTATACGAGATTCATAAAGAATTAAGTTATTTATTACAAACCAGTTTGAATTGTTCAACTGGGAAAAAGGTTGACCTTCAGTCAAGGTTGTGTGCGCTGATTGAATCGATTGCGAAACTAAAATGCATTACAGTTTCATGTTCTTAGTTATTCTTTAGAATAGGTTGATCTGTGATAAAAGTCAGTCAGTCAGTCAGCTACAAAACAAAACTTGGTACGTATGTACATCAGTTCAAGTTGCCATACCAAATTGGTACATATAGTCAGAATTGTCAATTCATATCCCGTAATATGATTCGAGAAGTATAAGCAAATAAAACAAACATGGCTCAGTTCAGTTGTCAATGATTTCAAAGATTTTGGCCATGTTTTAGTTTGACCTCCCGTAGCTTCCTTCCAGTCCTACTCCTACCAACAAACAACACTCGTCGAAATGGTCAGTGGTTAGATCCGTGAACAAAAACTATCAAGAAATCGAATTCAAACAATGATAATCGCATTGCTCAAACCTTTTTGTTTATCCAAGCTCTATGTCAGCAGAAATCTTAGGTCTCCGGGTGGGGTATTTACAAACAATTGGTTACACAAAAAGCCAATCAAAGAACACATTAAGTCGAGAAATAGCAAACAGACAGTAAACGAATGAATAGGACTTGGTAATAACTGAGAGAAAGAGGAGACTAGGACAGAATCGTTCAAAGAATCTTGGCCAATCCGCCTACGCACTGGGCGAGACCGTTTCGTCCTGATATGCGACTCATCAATCACATCCACGGACTCCCGCCACTCGCAGGAATCAAAACCAAGATCTTTGATCTTGCGTGAGAAGGCCTAATCCAAGTTCAGTGCTTTCAGGTTTCTTCTAATGATGATGGTGGTGGTCTAACAATCATGACTGATTGATGCATGATTTCAATTAGTTGATCATGTTTACACAAAAAAAACATCAACAATGATAATGTGAAAGTTAACGATCGATAATTCTCTGGCCATATGAAGTATATTTTTTACATGAAGTGTTTAACTATAGTTTAATTAAGGGGTCAGATCGAACTGAAGATTGACAAAAACTGTTACAATGTAAAAAGGTCAAGTGAAATGATCAATAATGTTTAGGCTGTTAAAAATCATATGATGAAGATTTATTTGCATTATGGGGTTGTGAAGATTGTTAAGTTACACAATTTTGAAACCATGAATCGATCAATGTTAAACCACCATTAGAATAACTGGAAGCACTGGACGGCCATTTCGTCCTGGTATGGAACTCCTCAGTGGCAGTGCGCATCCACGACTCCTGCACCCCGCAGGATTCGAACCCAGGACCTTCGGTATTGTGTGCGACTTCGTGAATTTGATCAAGTTAGACCTTAACACCGTTGGATACCGGCTCAGTGGTCTAACGGTTAGGGCGTTCGCACAGAATACCGAAGATTTATTTAACAAAAGAGACACTAGAAAAAACAGTTTTCTTGAGAGAATAAACATAGTTAGTAGTAGGTAATTATGAATTTTAATGAAATTTATTCTTGAACATATTATTATAGTTTGAACACAATTATCGGAGCAAAGGAGCATCAAAATATTTTGATTGGGCTGGGTTATTGTCCGGCTGCCAAAAACAAGGCAAATGGTTCCTCTTAGGGAGCCTACTTTCTGAACATTTGATCCGAAAGTCTACATCATCAAATGCAGTGAAGCAACGTTAGGAGATGCAGTCCTATGATAGTCATTGATCGACAATAGATTTCTATACCATTCGTTTCACTAAGATCCTGAAGCCCATATACACTATAGGTTTGGAACAAGGGTTTTCCAACTATCCAATGTGAATTGTCTGTATCATTAGACAGGTTCAAGTGTCGAACATTGACTTTTCATCCGCTCAATTTTTTAAACAATATTCTTATTATGAGAATGCAGTAAGTGGAATTTCACTGGCAGTGGGCTATACAAACGTGGCTATATGAAGGCATTTTGAAATGATGAATGGACACTTGCCACTTTTGATCGTTCCATGTCACAATATGAATATGTAGAGTAATGAGAATATATTATAAGAACTATATCACATCAGTATATTCTCATTACTCTACATACTCATATTGTGACATGGAACGATCAAAAGTGGTGAGAGTCTACTGTGGAGACTTCTTCGACACTACGGTGTGTCTAAGAAAATAGTTAACATCATACGGAATTCTTATGATGGATTCAAATGCAAAATCGTACACGCAAGACAGCTAACAGACTCTTTCAAGGTGAAGACCGGTGTCAGACAAGGTTGCTTACTCTCACCCTTTCTCTTTCTCCTAGTCATCGACAGGATTATGAAGACGTCAACATCTGGAGGGAAGCACGGTATTCCATGGACAGATAGGATGCAGCTTGACGATTCGGACTTCGCAGATGACCTGGCTCTTCTATCGCACACGCAACAAAAAATGCAAGAGAAGACGACCAGTGTAGCAGCAGCAGGTCTCAACATACATAAAGAAAAAGCGAAATTCTGCGATGCAACACAACGTGCACCAACCAAATCACTTTTGATGAAGATTCTATGGAGGACGTTAACACCTTCGCATATCTGGGCAGCATCATCGACAACCAAGGTGGATCCGATGCAAATGTGAGGGCACGGATTGGCAAAGCAAGGGTTGCATTTCTACAATTGAAAAATATCTGGAACTCCAAACAAATATCAATCAACACCAAAATCAGGATTTCCAGTACAAATGTCAAGACAGTTCTACTGTATGGAGCGGAAACTTGAAGAACTACCAAAGCCATCATCCAGAAGATACAAGTGTTTATTAACAGTTGTCTACGCAAAATACTTCGGATTCGTTGGCCAGAAACTAGCAGCAACAACCTTCTGTGGGAGAGAATAAACCAGATCCCAGTGGAGGAGGAAATCAGGAAGAAGCACCGGTAGTGGATAGGGCATTGCGAAAAGAACCGAACTGCGTCACAAGACAAGCTCTCACATAGAACCCTCAAGGTCAAAGGAAAAGAGGAAGGCCAAGGGACACATTACGCCGAGAAGTAGAGAAAGACATGAGAAGAATGAACAAGAACTGGAAAGAACTGGAAAGGGAAGCCCAGGACAGAGTTGGTTGAAGAAAACTGGTGGGCGGCCTATGCTCCATTGGGGGTAAGAGGCGTAAGTATGTAAGTAAGTATATCACATCAAGTTGACATAGTTCAGAACAACAACAACAACTATACATGGTAATTTAGAAAACAGAAAAAAATTCCATAAAGTGCCAAATACCTTCATTTAATAATGGATTTCACAGTGAAGATGTTGCATACACGCACACACAGACACAGACACACACACTTTCAGTCAACTATTTTATCAGTTAATGTCAACAGTTTCAACACTATCCGATTCAACTTGTCATAGCGTATTAGCATAGAGAGAGAGAAGCAGATGTGAAGACCAAATGATAGAACAGTAGAGCTAGTAAACAAGAATATCTTTCCACAAATAATGTAAAAACTCTGAGTTTATATATATTGAACAACAGACAAGTGAAAGACAATTGATAAATATTTGTAAGCAAAAAGTTTATTATTATTATTAATATTACTGATAGGTTAACCTACTGTGCTGTACAATTTTTTCACGTGACTGTTGTAATCACCTGATAGTGTCTAAGTGACAAACAAACAGACACTGTTCACACAATTCTTGTCAATATCATCAGTACAATACTTTGTGCTTCTTTCTATATGTGCGTGTGTAAGTGTGCGCATATACATGTGAAATAAACAAATATTTGTCAAAAAAACTGTTTTCTAAATACATGTTTGAATTGCAACAGTGATACCTGCTTGTAATAAATAACAGTAGTAGTAATAGTAGTAGTGGTAGTAAAAGTTCAACGTGAAGAAAATTGATAAGAATCTCTTTTTTTAACTCCAAGATCTCTCTCCATCTCTCTCTGTGGTATGTTTGTGAAACTTGGGTGATTGCTACACAAATCAATGACTAGATGTAGTAATCTTAAGAGTCATTAATGTAATTCAGAATTAGATTTACACAAAATAAACTTTATTAATTGAAATTAGTGTAAACCATGCACAATCTAGGCGCATATCAGTCAGTCAGTCAGATGCAACGTAGAACTTTGTAAGTAAGTACATCAGTTCATGTTGCCATACCATACCAGCACAGAGACATAATTGTCAATTCAAATCCAAATGTAGAAGGGGTAGTAAAGGTATTAGGAGTAATCAGAGAGGTTAGGATTAGAAGATATTTTCAAGAACTATGATTCAATGAGAAAAGTTTAGAAAGTCAAAACTAGAAGTGTTGAAGAACACAGAAGATTAGGATTTGAGAGAACACAAAGAATAAATGCACCGGCGCCATTGCGAACGGTTTTCAGCCATGTCATTCAGGGTCTCTAACCATCGATTACTAACACCTCGCGGACCCCAACCAGGTAGTCGACAATTACCTACATGACTCAGTTCACTTGTCAATGATTTCATGGATTTCTGCCATGTTTTGGTTTGGCC